TAAATAAAAAACATTAAAAATGGAAAAGTAGTAGGATTAAAACGGGAAAAAGTAAAGAAACAGGAGAGTACTTGCAAACTGGTGTGAATTAGATATCCTACACCACTGCATGCAAGATAAAGCCTTCACTAGTGTAACTGTGTAAGCCTTCATGGTGCATGCTCAGTGTTTGGGAATGATCATAGTTTTTTGTAGCCGGGTTCATGCAGTGATGTAGGATATCTTCTCACACCAGTTTGCAAGTACTCTCTTCTTTCTTTACTTTTTCCTATTTTAATCCTACTACTTTTCGATTTTTAATGTTTTTTATTTACTTGTTTCCATTCTTTTTTCTTAAATTAATATATTACATTCTGTTTTGATTCTGTGGTTAGGTTAGTTATATTCATGCTAATCACGTGCACATAAATTAAAATGGCGTAAAACCACAAACCCACGTGGTGTCTGCAGCTGGATTTTTTGAATCTACCTTTGTGGTCCTTGACCCAAGCACAAAGGAATGATGTAAAAGCCAACTCGAGCGGTTCTCTGGTTTAAAAGATTAGAGGGGCCATAGAAGAAGATGAAAGATAGAAGAAAGTCTGAAGAATTTTGCAGAAATTTGAATTTGAGCCTGTTCTTCAAAAAAGCTCTCTCTACATTACAGCCCACATTAAAGGTACCAAGAGAATTGCTCGGTGAAGGAGAGCTCATATCAGCCATTTATAAGGCTGTACAACATAAGATAAAAGAGTTATAAGTGTTTGAAAATCATAAAAACGGTCGCCATCTTGAAAAACCAACCTCAATCTTACATATAGGCTACCGCCTATATAATAAACGCACACAATGGTGTATTTATTTATTTATTCCTTTATTTATCCATTAATAGTTGATTAATTTTGCTGGTAGTAGCTCTTGCCAGTTATAGCAAGGTGTCTCACTGGAGAGGATTGGTACCCAATAATGTGGGACATTGCTGTAAGTAACAATGTGTACTGTATGCCCTATAATAATAGCCTGTGACTTATTAACGTTATGCAAACTAAAATTCTTTCCTTTTTTCAATTTTATAAATTTGGTCTACGACCCTGTGCAAGAAGTTTAGCCTGATTTTTAAGTAACTTAAAAATTTCATTAAAAAATCAAATTTTGATCAGAATCAATTCAGCCTCAGCCTCAGCCTCAGCTACATATACAGCCTCAGCTACATATACTAGACATGTAACAATAATAATAGTGATAAATGAGATCTGATCGTCTTGCGCTGGCCACCTGCGCGACTTTTGAAATTTCATTTGATCCGCCCACGCACCACTACAAACCAATCAAAGCACTGTTGATTCGTAGATTACAGAAATTATTGCACTCAGGACAGTCTCGACGAAAATATAGCACTCGGCTTCGCCTCGTGCTACATTTTCCTCTCGACCGGCCCTCATGCAATAATTTCCGTAACCTACTCTCAACAGTGCTTTAACTAATACATAACCTTGCCTGGCTGTTGGAGAAGCCTTTGGACAGAACTTCTGTCTTATTTTGCTGCTAGAAAACTCATGACTTTTCCCCGTGTGTTGGTTGCCATTTTATTTCATTGTGGCCACTCCCACTTTTAATGAAATATTGAAAAGTGAATTTATATACCCCTTTCAATGCATAGCATCTACCGTATTACGCATAAATAGGGGTGACATACGTGTACAAACAGACAGACATACATACGTGTCTCGTTTATGTGGGGCTCGCTCAGGCTCGCCCCAATAAAATTTCAAATTACAATTTTTATACACTTTCACGCATGCACATGTGGTTTGTGACCACGACCATCACACGTGAATTTGTGTGCTCAAGGAAAAAAAAGATGGAAAGATGTATCAGCTTTACTGTGGAGGCTATGGTAAGGGGATGCCACATTTTGCAGGACATCTGGGAGGCTGAATTAGATGAAGAACTACCCTGTCAAAAAGAATCTTTGAATATTGCCAATCCCTTTGCCGTAGCAGTTATGATGATGGCATAATTGTAGGCCATGTTCCTAATAGATGTCTTCTGTTTCTTCACTTTGTCTTGACAGAAATGGATGGATAACCTGTTGTATATAAGGCCACAAAAGATACTCGCATGATCTTCCTCAAGGAGGTATGGAAATTCCTTGTACTTTAGCTTTTGAAGGAGAACTTATACAATGTAAGTACTCAGAAAGGCTAAGAATTTAATTGAAAATGCACTTGGAGGACATCAGAAACCATCCAAGCAAAGAAGAGTTGTGATTCAGAACATATGAAGCATTCACAGCTATAGGTACAGCATAGAAAGCTTATGCTTGACTTGACTCAACACTAACTTACTGTATATCAGATGGAGAGAAGCTAGATGGCTTTATCATCAACACTTTTCAATATTACTTAAGCATTGATGTCTGGTTGCCAGACAACTTTTACCAGTAAAAAAAAGGAAGCTTTAACCACAACACCTTTAGTGAGCATTTAAATTGTTCCCTCTCATTCTTATCATTGGATTGTAGCATCTGCTGTGTATGTTTTAGTACATGTAAGTGTTGCGAAGGTGTATGATTCAGCATAATTATGACAGTATGGAAAGGGAAACCAGATAAGTTATTTTTAATTTGTTCAGTCAGCATCACTCTATAAAAGTACAATGTAGTTAAAAGCCAGAAGCAAGATGGTGGGAAAGACTGTGGGTTATTTGCTATTATTAGTGCAACTGTACCTTGCTTTGTCAAAAACCCTGGTATGATTGTGGTTAAAGATAAATACATGATAAATGCTTCAGATTAATTACTATAAAGTGTACATAATTATTATTATTGAAAATGTAACAATTAATTTTTTACAGATTAGCTATTAATTTGTTATTTGTGTATAATGCATAATCAATGTAAAAGTCAATCATGCTTTATAATGTCAAAAATTCCAGCCACCTGGAAGCCATTACTTATAATAGACTCATAACTATGAAGGTAGTCATAAACACGAACTAGCCATTTTGCCCCATCAGGTTTCATCACAGGCATCCTATGATCAGCCTGTAAAAATTCTTTCACTCCTTGCTCAAGTTGATTCTCGACTTGAAGGCATGCAACTGATGAAATTATCTCTCAAATTTTTTCATAGACTTGTTTACATTGAGGTTTACCAGTTGCAATCGATCTGTGAAATTTGCCAGTACTTTAACTGCATGTACAGTACATGTAGATGCTGTTTTCTTGTATCACTAAAAATGTTCCTTCTATAACTTTGCCTTGAAAGACATCAAAAATGGCCAGCACTGGTAACTCAGATGATAGCCCAAGTTCAAATGTATTTACTTGATATGCATGTTTATATGGGAAGATAATCAAATCCAAGTATTCTTCATTTTCTGCTCATTTGACCAGTGGTTACTGGTACCCGTGGCAATGCCATTCTTCTGGAAAATTGCAATTAAGTAGACATACACTTAATTGTCTTTCTGATTGTTATATCAACTGAAATGGCAAAACCTTTCCATCCATAGTCCCACAGACCACAGCTGTGATCTGACTTACTCTTTTATCATAAGTACCTACTATTTCTACCCTTTTTGCTCTTTTCTTCCCTATTGTCTATGTTGGTCCTTGTGCAATACTCTTTTACAGTTTATTGTATTTGAAAACATGAGAATATGCAATCTCTTCCATTTCAATGACGGCCTTAATATCCAATGGAAACTGTTCTTTTAGTTCCTATTAATTAGATACAGTGATTTGGCAGCTGAACTATCCCTTCTTTTGATGAAACTCATTCTGTATACTAACGAATTTGCCCAGTAACTAGTGATTAAAATTGGGCCACCATTTTCTGACAAAACGTTTTGATTTGATCTTCCTGTTGCAGCTGCCATAGTGATGGATTTAGTAACGATACCAGTAGCAATAATGACAGAGATGGCTTGACAGAGATGGCTTGACAGAGAACTGGCTTTTTTTTTGCCAAATGTCTTTGAGAAGTGTCTGGACAATCGATGCCTGTTCCTTGGGGCTTATACTGTCCTCATAAACTCAGTTTTTTGCCAAAAGAACAGACAGCTTTGTTGGCAGCTTTAATCGTGTCCGTACCCAAGGAAGCTGACATCAAGGAGGATGGCACCAGCACTCTCATGCTTAAAGTAATAGAATAGAGCCATTTTCACTGACAATGTGCAGTAATGGGCAAGGTTGTCCAGACCTTTTAAAGTTTTTAATTTTTTTAATTTTTAAAATTTTGCACAATCTTTCTCAATTCAATAATTCAAAAATTTGCACCGTTGGAAAATTTTTCTCAGTAGCAATGTTTAAGTAAATGAGGCTTTTTACACTCAATCATTTCAGCTCCAGAAGTTGATTGGTACAGGTTCATCTTGTACATGTACATATGAACTTGTGAAATGAATTGAAATCAAAGTGCTTCAGAACTTAATTAATAGTGCTAGTGAAAAATAGCTTTAAGTATCTCTTTTCCTCCTTATAGGTTTTATCCTCCATTTGGTACTGATGAGGACAGTCCAAATATTTCAATGAACATTGACTCCACTGCCTCATACATAACAATGGCTGACTCACTACGTAATGTAAGTAGAACAATACCCTACACATACACATGTATACATGTACATATATGTACATGTATTTATTATTGTTTATTATGTTAGGTGTTATATGTGCTACAGTTACATCAAGATCCTGTAAATGGAGTTGCTTCCTTCTCCTCAATTACTGAATATTTATTAACTCAACCAATATTGAGTTTTGTTTCATCAGGCCACACCCCTTCAACCAGCATTGATGATGCTCTTAGTACCAGTGATACTGATGAGTCTGACGATGAAGAACACTTCAATCCAAAGAGGAACTCCGTAACACTTAAACTACACTGCATTCAAACAAGGTACATACATATACATGTGCATGTAAATGTACCATATACATGTATCCTTAAATAATAATAATAAAAACACATGTAAATGTACACAATGTATGTGTACATACATGTATACATGTATGTGCCGGATGTGAATAAATGCTGGGATAGAATTGAAGTATTAATATGCAAATCTAGCCGTACAAAAACTTAGATGCCTTGTAGATACATGTACTTCCTTAAATTCCTGAGGGGAAGTGCATGAGGTCACGGGTTCGAATGCCGTTCTGGGCCCAATGTTTTAAATTTTTTTTGAGGTCCAAATGCCATTTTTGAAAATAGATGCCCGGGCTTTTATTCAAGGAGATGAATCCTACAAATAAGTTTGTCTATTTGTTACTAATAGCAAGAGCACATATACATGTACATGTACATTGTGTACATTTACATGTGTTTTTATTATTATTAGTGTTATGAATGTAATACATGTACATTGTACATGTACTGTAGTTGGAAAGTACTGTACATGTTCATGTAGTTATTTACAGCAACTCTATATAGGTCCATGCAAGAGTTATTGGTCTCTTTTGATCCTCCTGATGTCACTGGAATACCACCACACGACCCCCTACCAACATTACCGGACTCCCTCACTGCAGCACAGGACCCCTTACCATCAATGCCAGACCCTATTCCTCCACTAGATACCATTACTCCATCAGTTGCTAGTATATTACCATTAACTATTGATTCTACTCAATTTGGTCCCAGTCAGTCATCACCAGCTGTCAAGTTGTTGTCTCCAGTTTCATTTTTATCACTACCTTCAGACTCGCGTCAACCTGATCACGTCTTACGATCACCGAGTGATTTTGTTAGTTTCTCTTCTCCGGTATCAAGTGGGAGTGGTCTGTTAGTGACCCCACCCACAGTAGATAATGAATTAATAGCAATTAGTTCCAGTGGTGCTAGTAACGATTCTTTTCCGTCAGCACTGGTAGAGGGTGTGGCTAACGAGGGCACTCCATTACTAGAGGAGTCACTAGTTCATGAAGAGGAATGGCCAGTGATAGAACAAGTACAATCTAGTGATGACATAAGGAAACATGCTTCCAGTATAGTGTCAATGGTGATGGATACAGCCCTAGCAACCGTTGCTGCTATGAGAGAGGAGGAAGAGGAAGAGGAGAGTACTGGAGATGAGACTGATGATGATGATGAGGGGGAGGAGTCTGTAGGTGGAGCTAAGGATAATGATGATGAGGTTCTTGTACAGAGTGATGGAGTAATGCATTCTTTAATCAGTAAATTGGTATTGCAACAACAAGAAATGAAGTGAGTATGAGTCCATGTACATACTGTGCATGAAATTCCCCATGTTGTTTACAGTTCTTGAAGTAAACATGTACATGTATTTAGTGTACATGAAATACATAAAATACATAAAATTGATGTTACCTAGGCTTTGGATCATAACTGTAAATCCTCATTTGTTTACCTACTGTATAATTACATACACACATGTATTATTCTTGTTATTATTTTAGACAAGAAGCTGATGAGAGAATGACGCAGATGATGCTTGAGTTCAAAAATGAAATGGAGGCTATGAATAAAGAAATGATGAGTGCAATGAAAGAACAACTTAAAGAAAATAGTAAGAGAGAGAGAGAGTTGCTTACTGTACAAGTATTACAGTATGCTGTTACTTTTAGTTGTACTTTAATAACAATTAATATTTTCCTTTAATTTTTTCATTATAATTGGTACTGTGATATTGATACATAATGTACATGTACATATACTTTTTGTAACACCTTGCCACAACTACATGTGTAAGTTATTTCAATAAATTTTCTAGATCAAAAGATTGAGAAATTAATAAAATCACATGAATTGAAGCGAAATGACAGGATATCACAATCATTGACTCAAACTGTTCAGACAAGCATTGCTGGTAGACTGGAAAAATCTGTTAAGAATGAAACAAAAAATACAATAATACCAGGTACAGTATACACATGCATGTACATGTGCATGTAATTGGTATTAAATTTTCTTCTATGTATGGCCTAAAGGTATTTTGTAATGATTGTTGTAAGATCGGCTTAAAATTATTTAAAGGATCATTTTTAAAAATATTCTGTACTATTATAGCCCATGATTTTTCAAAGAAACACATGTACATGTAGGTCCAAATTCACCCCCAATTTTTACTAAATTTTCTGAAACTTTTTGAGTTATGGCCATTTTTGAAATTGGCCAATTTTTAAAAATACATGTACTGTACTCTGTACTATTGGCCAGGGATTCATACAAGATTTTTTTGATTGAGGGGTCCAACATGATGAAAATTAATGACAATGCATTGTTTTTTATGTTATTAGTGATACAGAAATCTTTATTGACAACACAAGAAGGTATTAATAGATCTGTAAATGAGCAACTCATTGCTACCAATACTGCCATCAATACTCACCTACACCAAATACTACACACTGAGGTAATGACTACATGTACATCTGCATGTACGTGTAATGGTAAATGTTGCCCATTCGAATGCCATTTTTGGAATTTTCAAATTTTATTTGAGCTTTATTTTAGCCCTGTTAAGAAGTAGTACATCTAATTTGTATACATGTACACATACATTGTATAAGTGCTCATGCTTTAATTTAAACAACTTTAATTTCAAGTCTGGTGCTGGCTTTTCTAAGCTTCTGGCTCATTGGTCATTCTAGTTTCACTTATTAATTAATTCATACTTGTCTTGTTTTTAGGGTCTTGTTCAAGCTATTGCCAATGCTATTGCTGGAGTTATGCCTCACATATTACCTGTTGTCATGGAAACACTGTTTAAGAATACATTGCTTCCATCATTTGAGCGTTCCTGTCAAGCAATGTTTAGACAGTTAGATGAAGCTTTTCGGCAGGGCACTACTGAATGTAAGGACTAGTGTTTCTGAATACTGTACTTGTATAGTAGATTTCTCATTATAATTTCATTTATTGTAAAAATCAATGATGCCCTAATAAAATAATTATTGTGTATTGTTAAATTCAATTTAATTGTTGGCTCTTTGACCAGACAAATGTAGCCTGTTGTTATGTTAATAATGCTAGCTGTTTATAACTTGATACATGTAGATATATCCCAGCTTCATGATGTAACTGATAGATCTGAGGATACAGCTGCTATCAATCAAATGTCAACTTCTCTTCAATCACTCATTTCATCATTTAATACAACCTCTTCTCCAATCCTTCCTTTGATTCAAGCATCATTACACACTGAACTCTCTCTTTTATTGCCAAGGTAAATCAATGTACATTTGAAATAGACTTATGCATAAATTGTTGTTGATAATCTACATGTACTGTACATTGTAATTTTATAATGATTTTAAATGCCTGCATGGGCTGCCAAATACATGTACATGTACATGTAGGTGTACATGTACATGTACATGTTGCATGTTGAACTTTTGGAATGTGTGTGTGTGTGTGTGTGTGTGGGTTTATGAGTAAGATGGTATGGGAGCTAATACTGTCAAGATGGTACATGTAGTTGATTTTATTTGATGTGCCACTATATTTGTGACCATAATTGACAAAAGGTACCTTATGGCGGATTTTAAAATTCATCTTTATAATGAAAAAGATCAACCTGTGAGTGCTCTGTTAGTCAACAATTGTTTTATAAGCTACATAGTAACTTTTTGCATTCTCTGCATTAATTTTAAGATAAATGCAGCTCAGGAAGTTGGATTTTTTAGGCTTTAAAGACTAATTTTTTTATCCGCCATAAGGTACCTTTTGTCAATTATGGTCACATTTTATCTATAACAAATACATGTACATGTAGAAGGAGAGCAGTTTTGAAGCCTTTAATTTAAATTAATATTTTTTTCATGTTTGGGGGGAGTCACCAATACACAAAACCAGCTTTACAATTACATGTATTTTGCCAAATACAGAAATGAAATAATTATGATTTGTAATTGTTAGATTATAGTTGATCATTATAATAATTTACCGAATGGCTTCTAATTTTTTTGTTAAATTTTGTATGGTAATCACAAAAGTTCTAATCATGGAAAACTACCTGTCTCTGTTGTAACAACTGTTCGTGTTGGTCAAGTTACAAAATATTTTTCACAAATATCTAATTAAATCATTAAAAAATTGTAGACGATGAAAAGATGGAGCCATTTAGTGCCAAATTATGTACACCTATGCATGAGAACTGTAAGAACTTGCATGTATATACCTTTTGATACTTTTTGTAGTGATAACATTATCATTATTCAAATATTATTTTAACACTGATCAAGCTTGTAGTAATATCATTATATTTCCTTTGTTTTGTGTAAGATGAGGTTTTTAGTCACATAGCAGGTTTTTTTAAAGAAGTTTTTACCCCTGAAGTTTTTTCCTTGAAACACTAGTCTGTAAGGTGTCTTTATTCTCTTACATTGTTGTTATGGTACAGTCTTTTGCTTCTGGTCTATTTTGTATTTTTTGCTGTTAGTATATGCACAACAGCACTTAACCGTAATTACAAACATGTATTACATACTGTAGACTAGTCAGTTGGGAGTAGGTAGGGGGCAAGGGAGTACCAGTATATGACTGCAGGCAACACTGTGCATTATGATGTCATCATCTGAATACTTCTTTAGTATTGTTTTTATGCATGTACTTTGTGACATACATGTACATGTACTACAAGCATGTGCATGTAACGTGTAATCTTATTTAGAAATGATGTAAGGAGTTTTTGTCCCAAGGAGGTAGCCAGTACAATTATCTTATTTACTTTTTGTAACAATTAAGAGTTGTAATGAACTCATACATGTAATGTACATGTACATGTACATTGTATGTGTATAGTGGTACAGTATGTCCTCGAATATCCAAACACCTTTGGGCACCTTTTTGGGAGAGATGTTTAGATAGCTGAAATAATCTGAATAAATGAAATAATAAAAGTAGGCCAACTTATCCTATACTTTTTTGAAGAATAAATCTGCATGACTTTCCTTTCCTAAAGTTTCCTCTTGGTTATGCTCTTTGCTGCAGTAGCCATTTAATCGGTTATTAAGAAATTAAGTAGTCTGAGCAGGAGCATTAGAGACAACCATGTGTTCGGATGAACGAGGGTTCGGATAATTGATTGCGTACTATAATGAAATCTAATAGTTGAAATTATTATTGTTATTAGGTTACAAGATTCAGTTAAAGAATCAGTTGCTATAGTGATTAAAGATGAGTTGATGAATTTACTTGAAGAAAAATCAGCTACCAACAATCAACAGCACCAGGTAATCTATTAATATTAGAATAATAAATTCAGTTTTTTATTATTATGTCCATGTTCATGTACAAAGTATTATATTGAAAGAAATCATAAAAGAGAGAGCCCAGAGAAGGCAAAAAAAACTAATAAGATTATTGTTATTGTTAATTTATTATTGGGAAGAAAAAAAGAGCAAAACACATTCAAACAAATTATTATCATTATAGGATAAACTAATGCAGCTAATAGAGTCTAAGGAATATGATACTGCATTTAATCTGGCACTCTCTACATCAAATCTCAGTTTAGTAATGTTCCTCTGCCATCATGTTAGTCCAGAAGAAGTCTTTGATAGCAATAGCCAGTGTCCATTGTCTCAACCAGTCCTGTTATCATTGATACAGCAGATAACTGTGGATATCAGTGATGATGTTGAACTAAAAATTAAGTAAGAGAATGGGGTTGAGGAATTGTGATAATACAAATATCAGCTAATCTAATACGTGTACTTGTATAATGTCTACAGTAGAAAAATACAGCACAAAATTTTTGGGGGCTCTATATGTACGTACATGTACATGTAAGTTTTAATTGTTCAAATACCTGTTTTGTGGATTTCATTATTTACTCCTTAGCCATTTTTATGAAACACCTTAATATAATTTCACGCACTGCTTATATTTCAGAAGGCTCAGTCTCACATATCAACTGTTTGGCCAGTTTTCTTAACTTACAGCTAATTACCCAAGCCACGCATAGGCATGAAGCGAGGGTAAAGCAGTTGTCCTGTCTGTGTGTGTGTGTGTGTGTTCGCTTGACTTCCACTTTTGAGCTGACACTGCTTTCTTGTGAAATCCAGGATAGTCTTATAATCAAAACTAGCTATAGAAAAGGTTATTCTTTGTCTGGAAAATGGATTGAATTGTCTTCCCGAGGCAGAGAAAGCTCACAATATTGCCAAATGTAGTCGGTACAAATATATCTTTTTCGTGGTGAAAGCTAAAAAGCATCAAGACAAATGAAACGATAGAACAAAGCCTCATCTTTAAATAGCTTGTAAGAAATTGCTCCAATCGTCTTCATTTTAAAGATATGATAGCCCAAACTTTCATACCTTGTGAGTTTAGATGAGGCTCTATTCTCCGGAAGTAGCGGCCAGAGTCTTTAAACACCAGATACTAGATAGCAGTTTGTATGCAACAAATAGAGCCAAACAAATGTATGTTAAATTGTTTATAAGTCGAGAAAAACTAAAGCTTTCTTCACCACTTATGGCCATGTGCCACCATTACTGTTTGTGCGGGTGGAGCATGGCTTAATTAAGCCACACCTTTATTGCAGCCACACCTATACATTGCTGCAGCTAGCTAGCATGCAGCAGTGCACTAAACATGCTGGAGCTTCTTCTCTGTCGAAATTAAAAATACAAATCAATCTCTGTCTCAAAACATTCACTAAGTTTTATTAAATCTAGTACATGCTGAAACTTATTCTTAGTCTCAAAACTTTGACTATTTTCTCTTAATTTGTGAAAACTGTTACATACATATTGTGGTGAGTGTACGCACTTTAGTGCTCTCGTATTTTATAAAGGAATGGATTGGATTTATCTGCAATCATTCCTACTATGATGTCACGTTTAGCCACACCCACCGACAGGAAGTAGCATTGCGAAGCAAAAATAAGCATTTTTAAAGGCTCATATCTCAGTGAATATAATGTTTTAGACTATGGAAGTTGGAAGTACTTGGAACACATTATTATTATGGTCAGGCAAACATATTAAGACCATAAAATAAAGACCCTCATTTGGATGTCTGTTTCCCTTTAAATGTCTACAATACATTAGTGATCATTCTGATTTAAAGTTTAGAACTTTTATTATTATCTGAACTTTTAAATTACGTGGCTACATCATGTAGTTTTGTGAAAGGAATGATTCTATCACTAAATGGAAAAACTTTTATCAAAAAATAGAAAATCACTGATACCCTTTCATACACGTACATTCATTTATTGTGTGTTTAAAAGGAATAGTCCTGTGTTGCTCTATAACTACAATACTAAGGAAAGTTGTTTTTTACTTAATGTAAATCTCATAAAAGCTAACAGGAGCATCTTCATTATGTGTCCCTTGATCAGCACAGACCCTCAACTCAATATAGTCAGTAGTAGTAGTGTTACCATAGTCTCTGTGAAACCATGGTAGTCCTGGAGCAGAGCAACAAAGGGTTTCTTCAAAAGAACAGTCTTTACCATCCCATAATAGATCATTCCAGTTTCCTCCTCCTGCACCTTCACAAAAATAATGACTGCCAACAAAGGATTGAGGAACTTGAGTGCTGCCATTAATACAAGGACAATTGTTCTGACCTTGTGCAACTAAAATGTCATCTCCATTTGCCATAAGTGTCCAGACATGTTGACGAGGAGACCCACGAGTAATACTAACACCATCAACATAATCACCATTCAGATTGTTATGATTTGTACCATATGGAACATGTACCGCATCTGTTGTGAGGTATGAGTGTCCCGTTACTCTACCACATATCTGAGAATAACTGATACCATTAGATGGGAACTGAACTGATACACAGCTACCAGTGTTTGTTATTGGTCTACCACAAGCTCTAACTCCTCCTGACTGGTACAATCTAAATCCAAAAGGACAGTTCTGTGTAGCAACAGACATATCCAGGTATGCTAGTCTTGTCCAATCTCCTTCTGAATCACATAATGTTCCCATATTACAGTAAGCAGCATAAGTAGCATTGTTAACATCTGCCAATAGATACAAACCTGATGGACTGAGTGGTTGTCTCTCCTTAATCTCTTTACAAGAGGTAGGTAAAGCAGTTGATTCATTGTGTAGTACTAATAGTTCTTGTGCTATTAGTAGTATATCATTAACCACTCCAGCAGTAGAGGTACTGGTGTCTTGCAGATTAGAGAGAGTATTGACAATGTTAATGAGCTTTTCTGCAGAATCTTTTGTAGTTTGTAGAATTTTTTTATCAAGTTCAGTGAAGTTGGTATTGTTTTGAAATAGTTGAAAGGACTTTTGTGATGCATTATTAGCCCATTCATTGAAGTTATGAAGGCTCCCTGTTACATTGCTGTTAACTTTAGATACAACACCTTCAGCCCATTCATTGAAGTCAGGAAGGCTCCCAGTTACATTGCTGTTAACTTGCGAGACAACACCATTAGCCCATTTATTAAAGTTAGGAATTTTCTGGTTAATACTTTGAGCTATACGATCAGCCCATTCATTTGTATAACTACTACTGTTAGCACCAGTTGCAGTGTTAGTACATTCAACACTATTACCATTAGTATACTTATCATACACTAAAATGCCCAGTATAGTTATTAAAAATATCAATATGAGACAGAGTAATACTGTTATCAACAGCAGTGGTTTACTCCAAGATGACTGCCTTTTTTTAGGCGCCATTGCTACATTAGGAGTAAGTACAGGAGTAGATAGCAGAGACTCTTGGCTTTTTGTTTCTTCTCTCTTATAAATTTCACCAAGTTCATACGTATTCTTATTTCTTGGTACTCTTGTGTAGACATCAGGGCATTCATATAGCTGCTCTAACTCTTTCGCCATGATCTTTACTATAAGGAGCAGTCTCGTATCACAGGTTCAAATTCAGTTTAAAATTATGTACTCCTTTAAATAGAAACATTATGAAAATGACAAATTTGTTAATTTCTTTTCATGACATGTTTACTGCTTACATGCTTTACTTAAGCTTGTTTGTTTTAAATTGCTTTGTTTAGTACCACACATTTACTTGTTTAGGTACTACTTGATATGCATTTTGGTTGGGAAATTGGGTGCAGGGGCCACAAATTCAGAATTTACTCTGACAAAACATCATCATTGAATTTATCACTAAACACATTTGTGGATAAATTTAATAAGAAATGTGGAATTGTAATTGTTGACAAATGCAAAGGAGACCGGCAGTCATCATTAAACCCAATAAGCAACTATAATAATTAATGCAATAATTATATTTTGTACCTCTTCCGTGCACAGAGAACACATACTATTATTAGTTCTACTATTCACATGCCACACATGTGTGTACACTTAAAGTAACCTTAATAATTAAATTTGTCATTGCAAGGGTGGGCATAGCACAACAGATCGCATGATGATGCATCAAGGATAACCCTACAACCCATCAAAATTAAGCTACAATGGTGCAAGTCAAAATGAGAATAAGTAAACAGTCTGGACTCATCCATAGTTTCAATACTTCTACCATGCCTAGTTGTAATTGACCAATCAGATTGCTTGGTTGTAGGTTCATAAATAACTAACTTACCTCTAATTTCCCGGGAGGTTAATAAATAATTTCCCGGGAGGTTGAATAAGTAGCCCGGGAGGTTGAATAAGTAAATTCCCGGGAGGTTGAATAAGTAAATTCCCGGGAGGTTGAATAAATAATTTCCCGGTAAATTAAATAATACGATTAATTGATTACATGTGTATTTTAAATTATAGTTTTGTGTTATTTGGTATTGTTTTAATAGTTTATAGTAATATTTGAGCAGTTAGAGAGGGTAAATGTAACAGTATCTGCAGTTGACCTTTTTTTGCTTGGTGGTGGCTCGTAACTGTTTTCCTTATCTTCAATTAGTGCAACCTTTCGTTCATATTATTTGTTTAATACTGATGAAACTTCTTTTTCTTGATCTTGAGATATTCTTTTGTAGGCTCTAATGCCATCAATACTGCAATGACCAGTGCGATCCATAATCAATTGTTCATCTGTTCCTGATTGAAACAACCTTGTGGCTGCTGTCACTCTTAAAGAATGATTGGTTTTAAAACCATCGATAT